AGAGTTCCTGATCCAAGAGTGTCAAGTGTGTGTGCATGGGGACACGGGGGCAAGGGTGGTACTGCAGTGAATGTGCATTTGTGAAGGCAATGGAGTGCCAGAAGAGAGAAAATTCAGAAGTGTGCGTCCACAGCAGGGAGTGGGAGAGGGAAGGAAACAAGCAGCGGAGTCCAAAGTGCTGTCTGTGAAAACATGCCATGTTCCAGAGGAGCATGAGGCTTTATGGAGGCACGGAAAGCCTGTTTTACCTGCTCAAGAGTCCTCCTGAGCTCAGCATTGAGTTGCTGCAGCTCAGTCTTCTCACATTCCAGCTTTGCCAGTGTTTCCTGCAGATGTTCCAGCCGCTGCAACAGGAGTCTCTTCTCCGAGAGCCACGAGAGCTGCTCCCCTTCTGCAATAGCCTGCTGGGTATACAGAGAGGAGATTATGTGAGCTGGCGCCACATCATGGTCAGGAGGGCCTGAATCAACATGCTGGGAAGAGTGACGGGACTCGGGAATGTGCGGACAGTGCGAAGTTTCTTCCTCTCCTTCTCCACAGGCCAAAACATCTCTTTCTAGAGGTCCTCCTCCAGATCACCTTGGAGAAATGTAGTTGTTCGTTCTGGACATGCTTCTTGTTCTGTTCAGTGCCCCCATCCTGGTTTTGAGAAAGACTGGAAACAGTTTCTATGCAGCCACTTAATGATTTTACATGTAGTATTTCCAGCTCCCTCTCTCTCAGCCATTTCTTGTCCATCAGGAAGACTTCCATGTTTATATGTTTATCTTAAGGAAGCTACTTAACATCTTTGGTCATCCTTTGACCTTCCTGTTCTCCTATCTAGAGTTCTACTCTGTCCTATAAAGCTTAAAAAATATGCAAGATGTAGGTGAAGCCTGTTTTTCTCCAGTGAGAAAACACTACGGTTTTGTTCTCTATTCCCCTCACCTGTTACATCATCATTACAGAACTGCTCTATGAAAAAAGTCACATTATCAGCCAGGGTCTGTGCACTGCTCTGAACCCACTCAAGAGCCACCTCCGCTCTCATAGGTTTATAGAATCATAGAATAGTTAGGGCTGGAAGGGACCTTCAAAGGTCATCTAGTCCAATCCCCCTGCAAGGAACAGGGATATCTCCAACTAGATCAGGTTGCTCAGGGCCTCAGTTGCTCTTGGCCTCAAGTTTCTTGATGAACTGCTCCTTGAAGGAATCTCTGACAGCATCTATAAATGTAGTCTTGCTATCAGCACCATACTGATCTATACGGATGCAACTGCATTACCTGATCTAATGCTGTTGCATACCTGATCGATATGGATGCAACTGAAATCTCCCATTGTTTACATGTTTCCTGTCCTTATCACTTCTCTGCTTCCCAGCAACAGATCACAAAGCCTGATCAGGCTGGTAGCAATATTTCTCAAGTCATGTATAAATGTATAATGCACAAATGCAGTATTTTATTAGTGGCATTTTTTATATGCCTGCGCACTAACATAATGCTAAAAGTATTGGCAGAGGCCCAGGAAAGTTTGGAGCACAGGCTGTTGCAGCAGTTCCACTAGCAGGACCTGGGTCAGATCACCTTGGAGAAACCCACACAAATTTGCCTTCATGCTTTCTGGTCTGTGGCACAAGCAGGTCCTGAACGTGCAACGAAGCCTTTAACCTGATCAGGCAACAGTCCCAATTCCGTTCTTTCAACACACCGGAAAAGCCGTACCTCAGAAACCTGCACCTCTGAAAGCATCCTCTAAGGTCCACCAGTGCAGCTGCTGTTCAGCCATTGTTAGAAAATTCTGCTGAGTTTAGTTCAGTAGTTTGGTCAACCCTGCCCTCCCCTTGCCATGCCAAGTCCTAACCGTGGCGCGTTGGCAAAGCTTGCCTGGGTGAGAGACAACCAATTACTCATCCCCAGCTCCTGGACTTGACTTCATTTTAGCAGCAAGCTCTGTAGCTCATTCAGTAGTTTTGGGCTTACAGAAAACATACTAGAGCAGGTGAAGGTTCTCTGGCTGGAGCTACACAGACAGGCAAGCCTGCTGGCTGCAATCATGGTGTATTTGGCCAAGCAGGACACATACTTATGGGAATATATGTTCCCATATCTCGATGGGAAACATCAGTAGAAGCCTTTAGAGACATTGTAGTTGATTGACAATCAATCGCACTGCCCACCTGATGATGAAACCGGTCCGTGTCCCTCTCTGAAAGCATACTCTGCAGGGTGGCTATTTCTTCCCTCAGAGTCCTGTTGGCAGTTTCAGTCTTGGAAAGGGCAAGAGTCAGTGCTTGTGCCTTCTCTTTCCATTTGACTTCCCTGCTTTCAGTCTGCTTCAAGGTAGCTGTCACACGCTCTAATTCTTCCCTCTTTGCTTTCTGTTCATCTTCCAGTTGTTGGGTTAGCTCCTTCTGCCTTCGCAAGAGATGGTCTATCTCCTGGATAACTCTCCTCCTCTCTGCTTCCTCTTCCTCCCAGGTTTGTGGTTTCTGGATTGGTTTCCGTAGGGTCTCCCCTTCAGCTCTCCATGGCAAAGCTGGTGTTAATGCTTTCACCTGCTCGCTCTGCCTCCTAAGCTCTTCTCTCTCTCTCTGAGACTTCTCTAAATACCGGACTCTGTCTCTCTGATACTTGATCTCTTCATCCTTCTTTGTCAGAGTCTGCCGAACATGCTGGAGATCTTCCCGAAGACCTCTTATCTCCTCTTCTAACTCTTGTTGGTCACCTTGAGCCTTGGTCTTCTGTTCCCTCTCATCACGCAAGGCTTCTTCCAGAAGCTTCCCTTGCTGTTGGTGCTGTCTAACCTCTTCAGTCTTATCCCTCAGCCTAAGCTGGAGATTCTGCAAGGTCTTCAATTCTCGTTCTTGGTGCCGGAGCTTTTGCATGAGAGTGGCATTGTCTCCCTCTCTCTGCCTCACCCTTTCTTCAAGCACGGTCACTTGCTTCTGGCACAACGTTAGTGCTGCATTCAGGCTTTCCTCACGAAGCTGCAACATGTTCATTTGCTCTCTCTGCTTGAGGAGCTCCAAATGGTTCGCTTCCAACAGTTGGCTCATTTTGTCTAGATCCTGCTCTAGACTCTTGGCCCGCTTGCCTTCTACCTCCTTCTGCTCTTGAAGGTCCTGCACCTGCTCTTGCAAAGACACTCTCTCTTTATCTCTAGCTTCTAGAGAAGATTCAGCATGTTCTAGTTTTTGCAGCAGGGCTTTAGTCTGCATCACTGCCTCCTGCTTTTGCTCTTGAAGCTTAGAGATAGCCTCCTCCAGAACCTCTATATTGTTGTCTCTTTCTTTCAGAGTCCGCTGTGTTGCTTGAAGGTGTTTTTGCTCAGCTTCATGCTTTTCATCCTTTTCCTTGCATGCCTCACATTGCTTTCGAAGGGATACAATTTCTTGCTCTTGTTCCCTTAGTGTCACTTGAAGATGCTGCAGAATTTCCTTCTGCTGTTCAGAGTCTTGCACTTGTTTCTGGAAGGCCTCAATGACTTCCTTCTGAGATTTGATCTTGAAATCCTTCTCTTTCAGTATTGCCTTAGTGCGTTCTAAGTCTCTGTGTAAGACATGCATCTGTACTTCTCTTTTTTCCTCATAGCTCCTGGCTTGTTGCTTTTGCATGTCCAGGAGTCTGACCTTTTCTTTTAAGGTTTCGAAGGTCTGCTCCAGCTGGTCACGGACAGTCCTTAACTGCATTTCCATGACTTGATCACCTTCCTGAATTTGCTTCTGTTGTGAGTCAACCTCTTGATCTTTGTTAGATAAAGAAATTGTGATCTGTTCTACTTTACCATGAAGCTCTTGCAGATAGCCCTCTTGCTCTTCCTTGTACTGCTGCAAGAGTCTTAACTGATCCCTTTGACAATCACACTCCCTCTCTCTGTCCTTAAGAACTGCCCTTAGGTGTTCAAGGCTTGTGTGCAGAGATTTCGCCTGTTCTCTCTCCATTTCCAGTTCTTGGATTCGCTGAGTCAGAGACACAAGCTCTACATTTTTCTCCTTCAAGCTTCCTTTTGTATGCTCCAGATCCCGTATCTGTTCTTGCTGGGATCTGATCTCCTGGTCCCTCTCTTCCAGCTCTTTGCTCATCTTGCTGAGAGCAGCCCTCTGCATCTCTTGCTGCTTCTCCAGCTCCGCTATCAGTCCTTGCTGGGATCTGATCTCCCGGTCCTTCTCTTCCAGCTCTTGGCTCATTTTGCTGGCAGCAATCCTTTGTTTTTCTCGCTGCTCCTCCAGATCCCGGATCTGTTCTTTCTGCAATCCCATGTTCTGGTTTTTCTCTGTCATGGCCTTAGTAACCTCATCAAAAGTACTGAGATGCACTTCTCTCTGCTCTACCAGCACTCGGATCTGTTCCTGGTACAGCTGCACTTCTCTCTCCTTCCCTGACAGGATGGTGGTCATACGAGTGAGAGCCTCCTGCAAAGCTCTTCCCTCTGCTGCCTCTTTCTCGAGCATCTGGATTTTCTCCCTCTGCACTTCCAGTTGCTCATTTTTCATTTTTAAGAC